GTCACCGGGAAGTAATGTGTCACAGTTACCCCGGTGGCCCTCACCAAGCGCAGAGATGACCACCCCCGGTGGTTTTAGTGCGGTAGGCGTCTCCGTTGCACTACTGGCCTTGGGTCGTCAATTGCCCAAGTGCCAGGGAGACGAGTCCCACACACCACCCGCCCCTCTCTCCAGGAGGGGCGGGTGACGGTCCATGAGGATTTCCACCGGGTAAAAAAAAAAAAAGGTTATATGTGATCGATTATATGAATTTTGTAATTTTTACTCATTTTTGGTATAAAATTGGAGTTTCTCGGGATCATCAATGCATATACTGTAATTGTACGCAAGCATTTTTGATTCCATGAATTTAATACGACGAAAGGTTATAACTACGAAAATGGTATTCTGTCGGTAATACAGACATGCTACGGGATCCTCTTAAAGAAGAAATTCGCATGCGTACCGTAATGACAGCATAGTTTCAATATTGTAGGTTATATATCTTATAATGACTTTGTGCTCATTTAACAACACCTCTCTGGCTGTTGTTAAGTTTACGACAATTTTGACGCCATTTTGTCATTAATTAACAACAGTCATTACTTACAGAATAAAGAAAAGTCATTTGTTAACGAAAATTGTTTCATAACAGCAATTTTTAAGACTTACAGAATAGGCCCCTAACAGTGTACTAATCTACTAAAAAAAGGCGTTAAGGAAAGATGGTCATTCGTACTTCAACAACATATGTAATGAATAACTTTTTACAAATTGTCATTAAACAGTCGTTCATAAAAGAGTCGTTATCATAACAACATCGTTTAATAATGACTAATTACAGAATAAGCCCCTAAATTATAATTTACATGCCAACATTTTTTTTAACTTGAATTTCATGCCTAAATTCCATGCGCGTGACACGATGTATGCCTGTACTTTACTCAAGTAAACTGATATATGTTACATGTATTTATATACAGTGCTTTGTAATGTTATTAAGATTCCCATAAAATATTAGTTAATTCGCGTTAAGTAACTGAAACAGAACTGTAATGCTTAAATTTTTTGCTCATTTCATAGCAGGTCAGAGTGAAAGTAAGAGATAAATTTCTTGTATAACAATTTTTTTAAGTGCAACTTTTTATTATATTAATATAATTTAGACTAACGAGTAGTATATTAATTAATTGTTATTATTTATTAATGCATTTTACACGATGATTTTTTAATTAAAAGAAAAAGAACTATTAATTAAATTTAATTTAATTGTAACAAATTTATGTATAATTTAAAAAAAACTTTTTTAGGTTCAGAAATGCTCGTTGAAAATGGGCTGACAAGGAAAGAAATTTTTAATGTATTGAAACATCATTTATCTGAAAGTGCTACAGAAACGTATGCAAAAATGGAAAAATTAATGTCTTCAAAATTAAAATATCCGTATGATTTACCTAACCACCACGTACTTTTTGCTCCTTTGTAAGACATACTTATGTACTAAAAGTTCCTTTTATTGTATTACGATTTGTACTGTTGTAATTCGTTTCCAGATATTGTACTTGAAAAAATCCGGTTAAGGGGATGCTGGAGCAACGAGCCAACTCCAACGGGATAGCGCCCTCATCTAAACGGAATTCAAAAAATCGATAATGTCGGTAATTATCGACATTTTTAATTCCTGCATGACCATTTCTACATTACCACGGAGAAAGAATTTCGCGACAATACTTTTTCGGCGATAACTACTACGCGCGCGCGAGACGTCGAGGAACTATTATAGTCCACGCGCCTCGTTATCTGAGGCTCGCCGCGGTGCCGCTCGCTGCCATGACAATTGTTTTTGGCATGTCACACACCGCTGCACGTCTCGCTAGCCGAATGATCGATATTTACTGTCGCTAAGGCTGGTATTCATAGTCCGTTCTTATACTTAAGATCATCTTAAGTATACTCTTAATGTGTTTTCAACCAATCACAGAGCCGTATTAGCGTTTTAAGACAATACTTAAGATGATTTTGAAATAAGAATCGACTATGAATACCGGCCTAAGAGATCTGAGAAATAAAATACTTTGGTCTGCCTAAACCCTATCTTCTCAGTTTGACTCAATCAATTTGCATTTTTCGATTGGTTAGTTACTTGTCAGACACCCTTGGCTGCGTTTAGAAACACCACCCACCCAGGGAGAAACGTGAAGTCGAATAGACGTATAATAGATGTCTATTCGACACGTCTAAAGTAAATCGAATTTCGCATCTAAATAGATGTCGATTTGACTTTTTTAGACGCGTCTAATAGACGTCTTATAGATACGTCTACAAAACGTCTTGTGTAAACGGACAGGCTCCTGGGGCTCGTTTCTTGAATTTATTCGAAGAAGAAACGTATGCGAAAATTCTGCTCTTACAGAAAAGTTGCAAGTTGATTGGCTATTCGCATGGCTTTAACCAATCGACTTTCAACCCGGGAAAAAATTTTCACATATGATCATATATAATCATATATGCTCATATACGAAAAATGTCCATATATAAGATACCATGTGTATCATATATGATCGTATACGATAATGTATTTGTCATATATACTGTCATATATGACAAACACATATACGATCATATATGATACACATGGTATCTTATATATGGACATTTTTCGTATATGAGCATATATGATTATATACTGTGACGTTGCCGTCCCGCGAGCGCGTCCACCGGGTTCCTCCCTCAAGGCAACAGGCCAAGATTAGGGAAAACCGTGCCGCAGTCTCCAGAGAGGCGACCGTTATTCGGTAAATTCGACGTATGGCTGATTCTTTTGTTTTTTTTTTGTATGATGAACACGAGCGTGAGGACGGATGGATGCGTGGGCGGAGGAGAGAGAGAGAGGAGAGGCCCGGCTAACGGACGAATTCCGCGGCGAGCACGATGGAGAGGCGTGCGGAGCGGGAACGGAGCGAGCGGAGCAGCGAGCCGGGAGGAAGGAGCCCAGGGCCCGCGGCACGATACCTGAGGGGCGTCAGCGGGGGAGCCGCTGCGACAGCCCCGTCGAGGGAACGCCGTAGGAAAAATTTGGCGATACCGCGGGCACCTGCGCCCGAGCGTGAAAATCTCGCTGCCGGCGTTGTCGCGTGCCGTCGCGCGATTGGCCGCGGGGCACGCGCCTCGCGCGAGCCGCCGCGCGGGCGAAAGGGGGGGCCCGAACTATCGATCCGCGATCGCGGAAAATTCGGAGCAGCCTGTTGCGAGTATTGTAAGAGCGAGGACCCCGGTTTACCGCTGCCGCCGTTTTCCCGCCCACGAGTGCGAGTTCCCGCGGAAGCCCAGGACGAGCCGTTGCCGCCTGCCGATCCCGGGAGAGCCGAGGTGCCGGTGAGATCCTCCTCCGTCTGTTTCGCCCCGTACGATCGCGTCCGGGCCCGGGTTGTTCTGTCGCCGCCGGGAAAATTTCGCGTTTGGTGTCACCCGGGCTGCGGCCCGTTGGCTTTAGAGTTTTCCTTGGTGTCCCGGTCGCGGCGACAAGCAACCGCGGTTACCCCGGAGCCTGCAGGGCACAGGCCGCGTGTGAGAGTGTGTGTGTGTGTGTCCGAGCCGAGGGTCGCGGTCGCGGGAGTCGTGTCCGCCGCTCTGGAGATTCGCGGCGCGAGATTGCGTTGCGCGAGATCACGCGGGGTACGCAGGCCGCGGGAGTGTCGCGTGCATGCGTGGCGTGAAGGAGTCGCGACGACCGCGAGAGTACGAACGGCGGTGTGAGTGTTTGCGATACCCCGAGCCGCTTCCGCCGTTGTCGGTGGCGGGTTTCGCGCGGACGGCGCGTCCTAGGCGAGATCCCCTGCCGACCCGCGCGGCCGACGCGGCCGGGCGAGAAGACCGTAGTTAGCCGTCGGGGACTGCCCGGCGGAAGTTACGTTTTGCACGTCGTTGTAAGACGGGCCGATCCGTCGGCCCGGGTACCCAGTCTCGCGGGCTAAGCGCCTCGGCCGAGTGTTGCTCGTAAAAATTTGCGTAATTCGTGTCCTAGTAATTCGGGAATATTTGCGTGTGCGACGGTACTCGTACCGTTCGCGAGGAAATTATTGTCGAGTGCGTCCGTGTCGTCCGAGTAGGGTTTATCGCGTACGGCTAATTACTGCCGTTGAGTTCGCGCCGGATTGTTCCGTGTCGCCGAGAGTATCGCGGCGTGTTGTTTTCCCCCGATCTCGGGGCTCGAATTATTGTCGCCAGCGACGCCGCCCGCTATAGCGGCCACTCAACCGGCGTGTGAACGCCGCCTGGTATTAAACCCAATTTTATTTATATTATGTTTTCGGTGTTTCTTTTCGTGTACGTCTCCCTCCGTGTGTTTCGTCCGTCGCGTGAGTTCCTCGAGTCCCGTAGCCTCTGGAATCTTGGCGGCAACCACCGCCCCGCCCCTCTACCGTTAGGCGAGCTAGCCTGCCCGTGACGAGGGCCGCTCCATCTCGTTCGTGCGATTTCGCGAGTTTCGCGACGTGACGCGTGAAAGACCGCGTCTGGCGCCCAACCTTCGTTTCGCGTGGAGCTTTCGGTCCGCGGCACGGTACGCGCGGAGCTCCCGAGATCCTGCTCCTTTCCAGCGCGTTATCATTTCCCTTTTGAGTTTTTGACGACGACTCGATCCGTCCGTATCCCGCGCTTCTCGCGCCCGGCGACCACACTCCCCGTCGCCGGCGCGCCTTCGCCTAAGATCCGCGCGCGACAGCGAGAGCGGGTCGGCAACATCCGTCCGTCCGCGTATAACGGGAGGGCGGAAGGACTTTAAAGAAGAGAGAAAAGTTCGTCGCAATACATATGATTATATGTGAAAATTTTTTCCCGGGAACTTTTCTGTCAGAGCAGAATGTTCGTATACGTATCTTCTTCAAATGATTTCGAGAATCGGGCCCCTGCTTACTGGATAGGGAATCACCACGCAGTTAGAAGTGACGCGGTAGCCATTTAACATATTGTGTTTTAATATGACAAATTTTATTTTATTAAAAAATTTCTTATTTACTATAACAGGAATATATGGAGGTTGTGGATTAGACTAACTTACATTTACAAATAAAAATAGGTGAAATAAAGATTTATTTTGTTCGGATATATAGTATAGTATAGTATAGTATAGTATAGAGTATAGTAAATCACAATCACATTTTTCTGCAATATTTTTTATTTTCTTCCTTTGGCATTTCGCAGCCATGATCTGAGAGACTTCAATGCTTCACTAAGATCACTTTCTTCAAATTTTAATAACAATGTACCTTAAAAATATCAAAAACAGATATAGATCAACACTTTCCAAATAAAAAATACAGGAATTAAATAATTATAATTACCAACCTTGTACCAATTCCCATAATTTTGTAGATTTGAACGACAATTTAGTTCCATGACCATCAAAATTAAACTCTTGGGCAAGAGAATTAGTCATAAGATTTGACATAAGTTTAGGAACTGCTCGAACCTCATCATTTCCCAAAGAAAGAGTCTTTAAATAATAACACTGAAAAAAATTATGATACAGAAATCAATACATATAAAAATCATTATACCTTACAGTACCAAGTAAATATATTGTAATTAACAACGAATAATAAATAATAAGACCTGCAATACTCTCTACAAACTTATATTTTCTTTGAATAAAAAAAACAAGAAAGTGTTAAGATAAAAAGTATAGACCGGTATTCATAGTCCGATCTTATATTTAAGATCGTCCTAAGTTTATTTTAAAATATTGTATGGATTATTTCATTGGCTACGGAGTATTTAAAAAAATCTTAAAACGATAAATTATAATTAAATATAAGATCAGACTATGAATACCGACCACAAAATGTTGTGTAAAGGCAATAATGATTCCAATAGTACACCTAAGTTGTGCAGTAATAAAATTGTAAATCTAATAGATATAATTGTTTTGTACTTCAAATAATTTTTATTAAGAGTACACTTTTTTATATTAAAATTCTGCAACAATGAAATACTTTTTCTGTTATACTATTTTTTAGTTTATATTGTAGCTTTAAATAAAAAATAATTAGTTTTATAAAGTTATTTCTAATTTAGACCTTAGTAATGTTTAAAAAATGTTGCCATTATTAAAATTAAAGTTATCCGAGGTAACTTTATTAAATTAAATATTAGTTATAAAAGCATATATAATACTCACGGTATTTGAAAGATGCATGTCGTTCGAAAGAAATTTTTCAAATATTTGAAACTGTTCTACAGTGTCTAAAGGAAGTGCAGGCAAGTTTGGAGGTTTAGAGATGATTTTTTCCTCTGGTAATAATATTCGGTTTATTTTAGACTGGTTTATTAATATCATATCAAGTTTTGCTCTCATGTTGTCAACCTTTTGGTCCAATTTAGTCAAAAATTTATCTAAATTTAAACGTAATAATTAAATCACTATTAATATTTAACAAAACACAGAAATAAAGCATTAAGGCTCCTGGGCCCTTACTTGGAATTATGGGAAATATGACATCAGAAGCGAGAAAATACACGTTGGAAATTCTTGCATTATATTATCAAATAGGTAATTTGTTGAAATTACACTTTAGATCGCTTTAGCATACTTGTAAAATATACCAATAACTAAAATTACCAAGACGTAACTTGTGTAGTAGGAAAGTATATTGTCTACTTCTTTTCACACTGACAAACCATATGTTTGTGTGTTAATGTGTCTAGGTTTGTATCACGTTCAGTTTACATTATTTACTAACTGTCAAGAGAAAAAGAGTTAATTTCTGGAATATTCTACAAGTGTGCTAAAGCGATATAAAGCATAATTTCAACCAAATTTCTTTTGAATACAACGCAAGAATTTTCAATATGTATTTTCTCTCTCCTGACGTCATATTTCTTATAATTCCAAGTGGGGACCCAGAAGCCTTAAGAAATAAAAATTTAATGTATTTTATTAAAGTTTTAGATGATGTTCGAGACAATCTATAAAAATGCAATGCATTATTACTAATATATGCACATTATACTACTATATTTTATATATGTATATTATTATATAAGTAGTAGTACCTGTAGTCAATTTTGATGTCAATGTATTTTGTGATGTCAACGTATTCTGTGATGAAGATTGTGAGAGTTCATCAGGTTTATCAGGTTTATTTCCAGTTTTTTTATTCTTTCTCTCTTCAGCAACAACAAATTCAAACTCTCTGGTTGGTGATTTTTCATGTACACTGTCACTTATAGATGGACTTATAGAAAGATACAGATTTTGAGTCTCGTCTAGTACAGGCTGAGAAAGACATTGATTGTCATTTAATATCTCATTGTCAGTGTTACTGTGTGATAGCGGATGTGGTAATTTTTTAAAATGTTGCACATTCGATGGTGACAATATTGACGGCGACTGTGGTTCAGACCTGCTACTTCCGCTTGTTTCAGGAGCCTTTTCTTGTACTTTGGAGCACGATATACTATCAACTGTCTTCTGTTTCAACTTAATAATATTTTCTAAAGACATTGCTTTTTTCCGTTGTTCTGCTTTGATAGCTGCTTGCTGCCTAATATTAACAATTCTATCCAGTAACTTGTGTTTATTATGAACAGCTGTTGTTGATGCTGGGACAAGAGTAGTTGTCTTTCCTTTGTTTTTGTTAGAAACAATTATCAGCGGAGCAACATTTTCTTTGGATGTAACATTGGAAGACTTTGTCATAGAAGACAGACCAGGAGAAAATAGTGGTGGAGGAGGAACTGACATCTTTGACTTTAATTTACTCTGTTTCCTCTTTTTAGTAGAGTCAGAGTCAGATGAATCGGAAGATGAAAATTGATTCAGGACT